GCTTTTCAAATGTCTTGTGTCAAAGCATTGCATGTTAATAGATCACGTCTTTGGATTTTGGATTGTTGGTCGCATACATTGACGATGTAAAGACATCACTTTGGGGTCTGGGGGGCATCATTAATAATAAGAAATAATAGTTAGTTGCAGTTTTTGGGGAATTTTTTTTTATGACTTAGACTGTGTGTGTAAGTTTTAGTTTTTACTTGAGTGATGATGTTATAAAATAAACATAAACAAAACCGACCCATGTAGTCAAAAGTGAACAGGTGGTTTTGTCTCCCTCTAGTTGTGAAAGTTCTTTCTTTCTTTTCTTCCAGCTGAGGTAAATAAAAATACCACCAAGCAACATCATGATGATATTCCTGCCTCTCCCATCAGTAATTACATGTGCTTTTGCTCCAACATCTGTTATCAGTTAAAATCAGACCATTACCACTCGTTACTGTTATTTGGGAGCTCAGTTTGTCACAGTTTAGTCGTATTTTTCATGTTTCAAATAAAAGGTTATAATATATTTGCACTAATAAACTATTAGAATAAACTACTACTAAATCTATTCATTTCTGGAGTTTGTTTCAGAGACTTGTGCCAGGCCACCCAATGTACTGAGGGTTCTTCAGTATAAACATCCTCTTATCTGGAGTTAAAATCCAGATTTCTTCTTTGAAAGGAAATGACAGATAAATGTGCTTTCCACAAATGAATCACATCCCATTGTTATTATCCTTAAAAACAAGAGACTCAGTGAGTTATCACTATGATTTCACAAGGTCAAGGAGCAAAATAACTTGGAAATGACTCTGATGCAGAACAATGCCCCTGTAATTTCACAAGCCTCCATCATAAAACAAACCCACAACAATGTGCACAGTTATCGTTCTCTTTCTGTTATCCAAGATTACTCATGACATAACTTAAGAAACTTGTTGATAATTACACATCACACTTTATTTTTATTTGGAGGCAAAACAACAGAGAACGTTCGACTGCTCATGAAAAAAAAGCTTCCCAAGCTTTTAAACCTTCGCAACACGACAGCAGATGCCGGAAATTCCTCGAGAGGAGACTGGACTTTAAACAAACAGCAAACAAAAGAGGATGAATTGGGGAGCAGCACCCAAGTTCATTGCTATGACAACCAGTGATTAGGCCCTTCCAGTACGCTGAGCTCACACAACAGTGATGACACACACTCTCTCTCTCTCTCTCTCTCTCACACTCACACACACACACACACACACACACACACATAGGAAATGTGATGTTTAAGCAGGCGTCATGGCGGATAGCAGTGGGTCCAGAACAGACCGCTGCACTGAGATGATTTCCTCAACCTGCACTCTTCCACCTCCCACATCACCTTTGAATCAAAACTTTTTCTTTCGTCTACCAAAGAAAAGAGTAAAGCTTCTGTCACTTGTACTTATTAGTCAGTAGTTGCTGTAGAGTAATTGCATCAGATCTACACAACATTATATGGAAGCCAGAATTTTTCAGACATTTCTGGAAAGAGTAACATCATTTGGGAATGAACATATGACAGACATAGAAAATTAAATATATATAGTTGCATTGTGTCACATTTCAAAACGGGCAGAAACACAACACATGTTGAAAAAATTATTGAACATTTACGTTTGTTTGTGTTCCGTTATATATTGCATCACCTGCTTTCCTCACTATAGATTTCCTGCAGATGTATCCACTACTTCCCCGTAACTTAAAGTTTCAGTTCATCTAGAAGTGAACCTTCATGTTGCAGCTGAATGCTCCTCATCTCACCCTTCCCTTCCCAACATGAAAGAGAACCTGTGGTGAACTTCAGTTGTCATGAAAACTCAAAAGGTGTTTAGTTTGTCCAGTTCAGAAGACAGTAAAAAAAACATGGAGAAAACACAGGGAGGCTGTAAATATAAAGTTTTTAAATATAAAGAGCCCATTCTATCCCTTTCACCTAAATCTTACACACTGAACATTTAACTCAAATCTCAACCACTCACCCAAAAATCAACTGGAGACACAAGTTTTGACAACTAAGGTGGAGACGTTGTTCCCATTCAACAGGTTTTTAGATTAAAATTCTAAATGGTGACAGATTCACTTTCATATTATCCAGTCTGTTCTAGCATGAACAGTTTATCAGGGATGTTACGGATTCATGTGGACACATACAAAGAACATACAGATTACACTTACATGTGTTTCAGCTTAATGATCATAGTTTAAGATCCATTTAGTCAATTTTAAAACACTGGTATGAACTTGTTCTTCCTGTGTCTTCACAGCAATATCGGAAGGATTGCAGAAACTGCCCGGCTATACGTTAACTCCACCCTTGCTATCTGTAGTCTGTGGTAAAGAGGGAGTTAGTTGGCTTTTAAAACAGATGGATTTACTTACAGCTACAGAGGAATGTTAGAAGCAGAACAGCACTCGCTGCTTAACCTTTTTTTTTCTCTCCCTAATTTACTGAGGAACAGAACATTCTGCATTTTAGTACCAGGGCCAAATCGCCCTGTATTTACATGAACATGTTCATGTGAAAACAGCTCAATGCTCGACATTTTCAGGGGTTATGTCTTGTTTTCCTCCATCCTAATAATGCATGATTGCCTGATAAGTGATGCCACTCTGGATATTTAAGATGAAAGTGTCGTTCAACAGCTTAATGTGCACACAAACAGTAGCTTTGTGCAACAGCAGGTAATTCTCACATAATTTTATCCAGAATCTTATAATTTGCAACAAAAGACTGGACACAAGTGTGCTGGTTGTTTTGTTGTTTTTTGTGGTGTAAGTGTTGGAGTGTAATGCCCTAACAGTGGATTGATGGACTGCCAAGTACCAAACCCATCGGCTTACAAGCATACCAGGGTGTCAAGAATAAAAATATGAGCAGCTTATTCTTCAATTTGCAAAACCAAAACAACAAGCGATGCAGATACACTCAGAACTAAACACAAAATCATGCTCTGTCCAAATTCTGCCTCTGCCTGTAGCACTTACCAACTCAAATATACCTTACAAGTGTTCCTGGAGGAAAACAAGAAACACATGTATAGGTGAAAACATGTGGATCCACTTAGATGAATTACAGATCACGCACATCCTCCTACATGTGTTCAAGCAGCTATACAAACATAAATCCAGTACCAGAGGGGTGGGGCTTCGCCTGTTGCCTGATCCCCCAGAAACTGTGAGTGTGGGTGTGATCGTGTGAGGAGGGGACAACCGGGGGGCGGGGGGCTGGGCCGGTTGAACGGTGACACTGAGGCTTTAGAGAAAGAACCTGCAGGTTTCATGACCTCAGGACAAAAAACTGAAAGACGAAAAAAGTGACTGATGAAGGGAAACGCGTGATGACAAGGAGCAGGAAAATGTGATGCCGTGAGAGTTCAGAAAGTGCTGGAAACTTTCATCACAGGATTTGTAAGCTGAGGGAGGACGCAAATAAAAGATAACGGCACAAGCTCACTGTCTGTGTTCACTCAATCGTCAGACACTACTGGAGGTAAGTGTTTCATGTTAACAGGGTGTTGTAGAATAAAAATGTGGCTGAAAGATTTCAAGGAGGAAACATGAAGGAGAAATCTATGATGATCAATATGATTACCACTTATGTTCATTTGTGATTTAGCCAAGGAATGTGTGTATTCATGTGAAGAGAGTCGACCTATACTGTTATTCCTACAATAACAGAATTAAGTGAATGAGGGAAGCTTAAATGTTAAACTTGTATCCTAACATTTTGAGTTTAAGTAAAAGCTTAAACAAAACCTTTTATAAATTATATGAATCGCGTCTCAATGACTTGACCACTTTCTTCTCTTTCTGTTAGTTCAGTCTTTCACAAAACAAAAAGCTCCGGCAAGGGGAAAAAAAATCTAAGCAATTACTGGTGTACTGGAAATGCTTTAGCCATTACACTGCACTGCAGACCATTCCAGGTCATCCTAGTGGAGACTAGACTGTGGTTTTAGTTGGACTGGGACATTATAATATAAACCAGAGTGGAAACATGGTTTGAATGGGAACGTTGTTAAACTGTTGTGAACAGGCACAGAAGTTGTGCAGTTCTAATTTTGAGTTGAGGAGGAGAAAGGGTAATGAAACAATAATACGTAAGTTGTGTAAATCCATTTTCAAGATGTAGTCGTACAGCTAAATGGGAACTGAAATATGTGGTAACTTTATGGTTTTTGTTGTATTGAAACCCCGTCCTGACTTGAAAATACGAACTCTGACCATCACATTCACACCATTTAAGAGAAAAAGGGAAGTGGACACAAGGTTTTTGTATATTTTCATAGATTTTGTAACAGTAGTATAAGAAGGTATACTGTAAGAAATGAAGAGTAACAATCAGATTTTAAAAATAGCAGTTATAATCTCCAAACAATGCAAATGTCCCTCTCACAGCAGGGACCTCGAACCCCTCAGCTTAAAGGTACAGTGTGTAGAATTTTATGATATCTAATGTTGAAGTTGCAGCTGAACACCCCTCACCTCACCCTCTCCTTCCAAACATGAAAAAGAACCTTTGGTAGCCTTTAACTGTCATAAAAACTCAAAAGGTGTTTAGTTTGTCCAGTCTGGACTAATGTAAAAAACATGGCAGCCTCCGTAGAGAGGGTCCCCTCAATGTAAATATAAAGTATTTAAATATAAAGGACATTTTCTGGGGTAAAGAAAACTACAATTCATACAGTTTAGATGAAATGAACTAGTGAAAACATCATGAGGATTATTCTACATTAAGTTTCTGCCAATAGATCCCTTTCACCTAAATCTTACACACTGGACCTTTAAATAAAATTAGCTCACGATGTGTCAAAAACAGGACGAGCTGCGATTCACCAGGGTGGATTTTATGACCCTCAATCTTTGATGTGAAAAACAAAAGAGAAAGAAAGAGAAGAAAGACCAGAAAGAACAGAACAAAAGCTACTTCCTCTCAGAGACTCTTTCTGCACCCTAATACACTTCAGCCACTGAGAAACAACTCACGCTTGCCAACCTGAAGTTGCAGAACTTTAAATGGATTTGTATGGAGAGGCAGTTCAGTTCTCCTGTCCCATCAAAAACAAGGGCAAAACCTCAGCCTCCAACATGTGCCTGCACTCTGACAGGCTTTGACATAAACACAGCAAAGATAAAGAGCAAATAGAAATGATTTTGCTGTAGTTGGGGAAACCAAACACCATGTGCATGTCATATGAGCATCTACTCAGCAGTTTGGACCTTTAATTCCAAAACATCCCACAGCAGACTGAAATGTCTGATGAATACAAATCAAGAATAAAGTGTTTTAATGCCAAAAGCTTGCTAAAACAGTGTTTCACCAGTCAGCCCTTTTGGTAATGCTAATGAGCAATGCTCCATGCCACAGGCAGCAAAATAAAGCCCTAGATCAATCCATGCTCATGTCTCCTTTTTGGTTAAAACAAGAATGCTGAGGCTGCAACATGGAGGCACTGCTACTAATTAGAGTTGCCTTCAGTAGAAATGTCTTATTGTGGTAATGATATAAAATGCAGAGATCCCCCTCCTCTCTCAGGGAGACGAGAAAAAACAGACCACAGAAACGAATAAAGACTGCACAGCAAATATCAGAGAGTAGCACACGGGTAAAAACACAACAAAGCGTCATGTTTAGAATTCAGTTTCCTTCATGAGCATACATGTGTCTATGCTCTGGGTAAATGTCAGTGTTTTTATGCCTTATGACACCCACAGGGAATTTTTACAAATTTGGTGGTGATAGATTAAGATCACTGTGATCTCATAAAACCTGTTTTTGTCTTTTGAACAAAAATTAAAAATTCCTTGAGATAATCTTTTAATATTTGGCGCAAATGTTAACTTAGACTCATGGATGAAATAATATCTCAAGTCTGCCTTTGGGGAATTCTTCACAGTTTGACAAGTTGTCACATTGACTCAAACAGTAATTGATTAGATTTCAGTGGTAAAGGTCACAGTGACCTCATATGCATCTGGAAAAAAATAAACTAAACTTTCTTAAAAATATTTTTCGGTTCTGTGCTCCTGTCACCTAGTGACTTTTGGTGACTCAATTGGTATCGGCATCAACAGGTGAACTCAAGAGATATTCCTATATGTTGCCTCTTTGCCCAAAAGTGAAGTAACTTTTAGTAAAATTGGTGGTTGGAGGACAAAAGGCAAAAGACTCACAACCAGTTTTAACTGCAAAATATGTTTTTTTTCCTGTTTTCTAGGGGAAACATGGACCTGCCACTGACTCTTCATGTGTTCCTTCTTTTCTGTTCTCTAAATGCTGTTGTTTGGGCTTGTCCAGTTGGATGCAAATGTCAAGCAAACAAAATACTCTGCAGTGGCCTCTCAGACTTCCCCACACCTCTGCCCTCATCTACCACCACCCTCTACATCTCCAACTCCAGTATCTACTCTCTGAAACCAGAGGACCTGACTGTTTTCTCTAACGCCCTCAGCATCTTTGTGATTAAAGACACTGTTCTGAAGGAGGTGCACCCTGACACACTTGATGCCACTCTGAATATAGGTGCCTTAGGGTTTACTGGCACAGACCTGCAAGATCTCCCAGAGGCCTTGTTCCAAAATCTTCAGAGTCTTGAGTCTCTGGCTCTAAAGAGCAACAAACTCCTGGTACTGCGCGCTCATTGGTTTTCCTCTCTGAAGAATTTGAAAGTTCTTGACTTAAGCAAGAATCTTTTCACTTCTGTACCTTTGGAAGCATTTCACACCCTTACTGAGCTAAGTTATCTTTTACTTTCTGGAAACAATATCAGTCAACTGCCTCAAGAGACATTCAAGGGTCTTTCTAAGCTTAAAACCCTGCGGCTTAGTAAAAACTCCCTACAGGAACTCCCTGTTGGCAGTCTGGATGACCTTGGCAATCTAGAGGAACTATCCCTAAATGACAATTTAATTACTCACCTCCACCGTGACCTGTTCTCTAACACTCAGAAGCTCCAAAAGCTGTTCCTCTCTAACAACAGGCTTACATCTCTTCCACTGGGGATCTTTTTAAACCTTCCCCTCCTTTCCCAGATCTCACTGTATGAAAACCAGCTAGAGAGTCTGGGTCCAGGGGTGTTTGGGCCCATGCCCTTGCAGGAGCTGTGGCTATATGACAACAAGCTCAGCCGTGTGGAGGATGACACCTTCAGAAATCTGACTAAGTTGCATCTGTTGGTGCTTAGTCGCAACCAGATCAGCTACGTTTCTACCGGGACCTTCAGAGGGTTGGAGAAGGTGGGAGAGATATCACTTCACACCAATCTGCTCACAACCCTGCAAGCTGGGACTTTCCAGGGTCTTCCCAGCCTGGTCAACATTTCCTTGGAGCACAACTTCATCAGCTCACTCCCTGTAGGTTTTCTGCAGGGTGTCAGCCATCTAGGACAGATAGACCTGCAAAACAATTCCTTCAACAACCTGCCACAGGAAAGTCTTGATGCACTCACTGTGACAAATGAAGTACTCTTACAGCAGAATCCCTGGAGGTGTGACAAAGATATTCTGCCTCTAAGGGATTGGCTGAGACAGCACCCAACCAAGGCCAATCAAACCCTTGTGGTGTGTGAAATGCCTTTCGATTTGAACGGTGAGGTGATCGCTCTGCTGACAAACGAGAACATAATGCCTCTCAGCTCTAGCAAGGATCCTGTGTTGACCTCAACAGAGAAGAGGAGGAAGCCAAACACCCCTCCAACTAGACGAAGCACTGTCCCACCTGCTGTCAAGACCACACCCACCTCGGAGCCTGAGGAAGTCACCAGCAGTGGACAAGGGGAACAGGGAACGGTTCCTAATGATACTGCGATAATCCTTATCATCATCGCAGTAGTGTCCACTGTCATTATTAGCACAGTGATCATCAGCTGCATGTGCTGGAGGAAGAACAAGAGAGGCAGGGGAAATATAGGCCGCAGAAATAAGAACTCTGTGCTGTAAACCACCCAACATCAATAACACAAGAACTTTTTAAGCCAAGTAACTGCTCGCTGATCTGGAGCATAGAGTTGATTTTACAGCCTCCAAGTCATAGAAAGAACCACTACAGCTCCTTCTTCTTCAGCTAGAACAGACAAGGAAACAGATTTTCTTTTGAATTAGTTAGCATTCCGCTTTGTACCAGTCAGTACTGTTATGGGAAACTGGAAACGTTTGGTGATTGTAAACTGAAATGCACTGAAACAGTGTACTTCTGGATAATATTTAGACTGAACTGAGAACTCTGTTCAATGGGCTTTCATTGCTTCATTAATTATTGCAGTTTGAATTTTTGTGCTAACAATACATTTTAGAAACAGTTGTAATTGTTATCAAAATGACTATCCATGCTGAATCAAATATGTAATTCTTAATCCACTGCAAGACAATTCAAAGCAACATATAACTTTTAAATGAATAAATGCACTGTTTTAGAGGAATCAATCTAACTTTGACGTGATCATTTACTGAAGTAAGCTATTCATGGTATAACATGACAACTCACACTTTCTCTCAAAGAATATGACAGAAAACCTTATTCCAGGACACGGTGAAAGACAAAACATGACTGAAATCCCTATGAAAAGTAGTTTACCCACAGAGTAAAGCTTTAGTTATGAAGGTTAGCAGCATTGCACTTACATACTACATCATATAGAAAATGATTAACACAAAAATTACAAATTCTTGTTGAAACAACTTCACAGGAAATTTCCTATCCAGACTGAGTGGATTTAAAAGTAGTCACGATGAAGGGAAGGATGATACTGTACCACAGGTTTGCATTCACAGTAATCATTCTGAAAACTTACAGTAATTGTGCACATTTAGCACTGGTTATAACTTCCACCCCCCTCTTGCACTCTGGATTATATCCTTTCAATATAAAAGATCGCCATCTACTGGAGGGGAGTGCAACTAATGTTTGAAACTATTTTGTCACGAATCCAAAAATTCCACCCACGGCTTCCCCTGCAATTACACAGAGACCAGACAAAACAAACAAAGCACAAATGCTGACTAATTATTAACTGACAATAACAATGTTTTGGTAGGGAAGTTAAAACAAAACATAATCAAAGACTAAAATAACTTAATCTGGAAGGAGGGTAGTTGATTTGTAAAGTTTTACTTTCTTTCTGCTTTCAATAATGTGGAAACAGATGTATAAAACTGTTTACATACCACAGCGTGTGGTCGTTTAAAGATCATGATGAATATTCGACCTTTAAAATAAAGTATTTACACAACTGCTCCAGGTGAATAACCTAACATACATCACACATAAGGTGAACTGCAAATGTATGTATGGAGTCATAGGCCAAAGTTTAATCACAAATCAAATTTTAAATGAACATTCAAATCACTGGTGGAGTACATTGTTTTGAAAACTTCTTGAGTATTGAGTAAGTAGATATGGAATGTTAGTGAATAAGAAAAAATTACTCTAATATTTTGTAATCTTAGAGAGATACTGCTGAGCCATGTAGTTAATGTCTAAACCATTAAAAACCTTCTCCAGTCTCCGCTCTTATCTCAAGCTGCAGATGTGTCACGCCTCATGTGGGATGCACCACACTCAAGACCTGCTGTCCTACACCATTTCAGAAGATAACTCATGAGACATGTTTGTTTGTGTCTCATCTCTAATGTAATTACCTTCTGATTCATCCTGGGACTGGAAATAATCTGGTAAGTCAATGTTCCTTTGGTATTTGACTGTTGAAACAGAACATGGGTCACAATCTTATCTCTTAAAAATTTTGTAAGTGATATATGATCGCATCTTTTTTCTTTTTATAGTGATTAAGAATGTCAAGAGGAGAAATCATCATTCTTTTTCTGTCTATAATGTTTGAGACTTTGTTGCCTCAATGCGAAAAGGAGATGGACTGCTCCAAAGAGAACGAGCAAGTCTTTGGTACATCTACGACAGAAATTCCTCAAATGCTGAGAGCAGGCGTGACAGAGGTTTTCTTTGTGAGTAGCCAGGTGAAAACAATCCCCAAAGCAGCCTTTGCTCAAAACCTGCACCTTGAAAAGGTGGAGTTCATGAAGACTCCAACATCAGCTATTGAGCCAGGAGCTTTTGAAGGTTTGGGGTCCCTCAAGCATGTTGAGATCTCCAACACTCCATTAATGTTAATCCCAGTGGGAGTATTCAAAGACCTCAGCAACCTGGAGAATATCATACTGAAGTTTAACAGGCTCCAGCGTTTGGAGAGAGGCTTGTTTGATGGCCTTAAGAAATTAAAGGCAATCGAGGTACATGGGAACGAGATCCTATCGATTGAAAATGGGACATTTGAAGGTCTTGATAACCTCTTGTCTCTCCATTTAGCTAAAAACAACATTTCTGCTGTATCTACCAATTTGTTCTCAGACCTTAACAAACTGCAGATACTACGACTTTATGAGAATCAGCTAACCACCGTTCCTGAGGACATTTTTCAGAGTTTACCAAACTTGAAGGAAATCTACTTGCAGAGCAACAAAATCGCAGAATTATCACCAAATCTGTTTCCACATAAAGACAAGCTTACTAAGATCAGTTTGGAAAATAACCTCCTCACCAGTTTACATCCAGAATATTTTGTTGGCTTCCCTCAGCTTAAAACTCTGACCCTGCGGAAGAATAAACTGACAAGTCTGCCTCCAGTTCTTTTTGGAGAAAATAAACTGGTTGAGTTAAGTCTGAGTCAAAATGATCTCAGCACCCTCCCTCAAGGAATATTCATCCCCCTGAAGAAAGTCAAGAAGCTCGACTTGTCTAATAATCATTTTGTCTCCTTGTCTCCTGAGTACTTTGAAGGCCCTGAGAAGCTCACAGATCTGAACCTACAGAATAACAAGATAAAGTCGCTGGATGCAGATGTGTTTGAAAAGCTTCAGTCACTGATCACACTAAAGCTCGCTCATAACCACCTGCAGATGCTCCCTGAGGATATTTTTGAGCCTTTACTAAACCTAAAAAAGCTTTACCTCAATGGAAACCCTTGGAACTGTGACTGTAATCTGATTTCTTTTCACCTTTGGATAAAAGCAAACTCAGACAAACTTGCGTCGCCTGTCGTCTGTGAGTATCCAGAAGATTTAAAGGAGCAGGAAATCAAAGACCTGACAGAAGATAAATTGATTTGCCCCACCCTTCCCCCCGCAACTTCCCTCCTTACCACCACCACAATGACAACTCCCACAACACCACCAACTACACAACCAATAACAACCATACTTACTACAACACCAACCACCGCTGAACAATCCACAACCACCACACGCACCACAACACTTCCGACCACACTGCCAACAACAATTATACCAACCACAACTTTAGCTACAACCCCCTCAACCACACCTACGACTACAACTACTACCACAATCACTACATCAAAAATAGCAACCTCTACAACAAGCACAACACCTCCAACCACTGCTCCAACAACCACA